AATATTTAAGTGAACATTTTAAGGAAACCTTAAGGGGAAGACTTTTATTTTTCTTAACTAGGACTTTAAGGAAAATCTTGCCTTAAGGTATTTTGTGCAACAGACCCCAGATACAGATAATATTCTAAAAAGGTGACTTTAACTTCTACCAAAGTCATTTTCTCATAAGATATCTGTACTTTCACTTAAGTATGGCTTCCAGTATACTTCATCCACCTGTGCTTTGCCTTGTTTGCCAAAACACTTTAAACACCATAAATCAGTTTTAAGGCCTTCGTCTGGACAACTTTTTAAGTTACTAAAAAAGTAAACAAATCATGTTGGTGGGTGTTCATCCTCCTCCAGTGTAACTTTTTTTTTCCAGCTGCTTTTTAATTCATAGGAGAGCGCCGTCCAACAGACCATACGACCACTTCATTTCTGGAAACGGGCTGCACACCATCTGGACAAAAATCCATCTATTTACAACTTATTAACATTTCCAACTGTTGACTGGATGGTTTATTAGAACGTGAGAAACTCATAACTCTTCGTTACTATTGAATTACTCATCCCGGGTTTGTTTGGTCCAGATTAGGGTCCAGATGCTCCGCAGCCGCTTTTTAAGAAGTGGAGAAACTGATGGTAAATGAGTAACTGGTTTACCACCAATTAGTGCAGTATGTAGACACTGATGCTAAAGCTTTTTTTAAATAGTCACTCCAATGTTATGTCTAATTTGGGGTGACAAACATACAGCCCGTGGGCCAGAATGGGCCGATCAAAGAGTCCAATCTGGCCCACAGGATGACTTTACAACTTAATATTACTGCACTTGTGGAGGCTGAGAGGTGTCAGGTTTCAGGGTCGTATTAATTGTGCAAAAACAGTGTCAATCAGCAGCTTCAGTTTAGAAGAATCTGTATCGAATGTCTATCTTAAAATAATATTTAAAGAACCCTGTTGCTTAAGCACTGACAACACTTTTGATTTGTGAATGGTTTGTAGGACAGGAAATAACTTTCCACTTTAGTTAGTTGTGATGGTGCCAGCATTACAACACAGGAGTGAAAATGTTTGGAAAAATGCCGCTGTGATGACCATACACTGACTGAATGTGGAAAAACTGAGACATATTGTTGAAATTGAAGACATCGCATGCTGTTAATCATCTGTTTTGTAAATAAATGTATTCAGAATGTATTTCTTTACACTGAAAGAAAAGGAAAAACTTGGAGGTGCTTTTATTTATAGGTTATTATACGATGGTTTTACTGGTCCGGCCCACTTAAGATCAAACAGGGCTGTGCGTGGCCCATGATCTAAAATAAGTTTGACAACCCCGAGTTAAAGACGTACGTAGTTCTTCAGAGGTGATGGGTAAAAATTCTTTAGAGTCCTTTATTAATTAATACAGAAGACATTTTCAACATTTTCAACAACAGTTTATTGAGTCTCATTTACAGGTCATCAAATACAGACGCCTGGGGTTGGAGGTTCAATCCGACAACCAACTCAAAGCATTAGTATTTACCGACCTGAAAATGAGTCTCAACAACGTCTTTCTCCAGAGTTACATCCAGCACCTCTAAGAATAAGAAAATTATTTTTAGAGTTATAGCAGCTTATGCTGATACTGACTTGGCATGTGTGTTAGGAGGCCACCTTGAAAGCACTGCTTTGCAAGCCACCACTTCGGCTATTTCACACTGGAAGAAGTTAAACTACAGCAGAGGCAGAGGGAGACATCTAGTTTAGATTTTTGTCCAGATGGTCCATGGCCCGTTTCCAGAAAACTATCCATGCTGTTGGATGGCTCTCTCTTAGGAATTAAAAAGCAGCTGGAAAAAAAGCTACACTGTAGGAGGATGAGTACCAACCAACATGATTTGTTTATTGTTTTAGTAACCTAAAATGTTGAATTACAAGAAGTAAAAAGTGTCAGACAGTTGAAGCCTTGCCATAATCTAACAGGATGCCCTGATTACTGAATTATCTACCAACGGGTCTGATCATAGCTCGTATGCCACTGATTTTATATTTGTTTATATTCCTCAGGTTCAAAGGGAGGCAGATTGAGATGAACGCAGGGCCGTAGCTATGACTTATGGGTTGTATACACAGGAGCAGGCACCTTCACCTCCCCACCCCTTTAATCAACCATCAGTCAAACTACAACAAAAAGGTCTTTGTCCACCTGCTGACAAGTCAAACACACCTTTCATCAGACGTGATGAGTTCTGGTAGCTGTACAAAAACCACGTCCTGAAAATATTACCACTGTTTGACATTTAATCAGTCACATAACACTCTGTAATCTCCCCCAGTTGTACATTATGACCCTCACAGCTCAGATGACAAGCCTCTCCCTGTTGGTTCCCATGCTCGGCCGTGCTGGGCCCCGAGTCATCAAGGTGTAAGAAGGTGGGGGGACTTACGGGTGGTCGAGACTGGAAGTAGAAAGGGTTTGGCGTGCCAGCAGGGGGTACCCCCCCCCCTCCTGCTTCACCGGGTAAACCTTTTAACACGCGCCATTCTCCGCCGGGTCAGGCCGAGGTCTCCTGCCTTTCACGCGTAGGCCGCTAATGAGGTTTCAAAATCTCAGAGCAAGGTGAAGGGAGTCTGACCTCCACTCAAGAAACTGAGCTGTGGAGAGACGGCAGCACTGTTGGTCAAATCACTTCTGACATAAAACCACAGAACAATGTGCAGCAGTCTGGCTCCGGGGATACACTGAGAGAAGTGATGCTCACTCACAGGCTCAGTCTGATTTAAAAAATGATCGATGCTGCTTTTTGGTAAGTCCAATATGATGCGTTTGTGGATTGTGATCAAATTTCTGTGTGCAATTCAGTAAATTACTTAAGAAAACATGTTAACAGTAGCCTTCTTTTAGCTGAAGTACTTTTTACATTGGTGTAGTAGCATGGAAATCAAAGTCCTGGTTGTTTTGCTGCAGAATCCAGACAGCTGTGCAGCATCGTTAAATACTTTTAAAATGCTGTAACAGAGCTGCAGGAAGCTGGCTTGTTTCTTGAGTAGATTTTTGAGGTTTAATGTGAGCTGGAAACAAATGTCCTGCCTGTATAAGAACTTTAAAACTTGCCCTTTGCATCTTTCAATCCAAAATCTCTAAAGACATACACTAGACTTAAAATTGGATATTTTGAAATTAAAGAACTCTCAGTTAGCATAGGGCCTATTATTCTGCAAGAGACTGGTAAATACAGAAGCAGTAAAATTGAGAAAAATGGTGTTTAAAGTTCTTATGTTGGCTGTCAAACTGTAACTAATAGAAATCTTCATTTTGGGCCTTTAAAGGGTGATTATTTTACCCCCAAATCACAACCATAGAATGTATAATACCTAAAATGCAGATACTGCACTCTTTCTGAGGATAATGCTCTGAAAATACAAGGGAAAAATGCACCTTAAACAAAATTCTTTCAGCTCTTGTCCATTTCTAGTTTAAGAGTATTTTGTTTTTTACATGGGAATTAAATCTGTTGTCATTCTGATTAATTAGGATCCCTGTAGCCAAAGCAGCAGTTATTCTTCCTGGGGTCTCTCTATTTACAATTAATATTACTATAATTTCTAATTTAAAATGTGTAAATATGTAAAATAAAGGCAGCTTTAACCACACCAAATTGCATTGTAGCCTATTAGCTTTAGCAGGAGTTCAGCTGTCTTTGCTCCTCCATCTTGATTTGATTTAACCACTAACTCATTTCGTTATGTGTAAATACTTTTTACCAAGATGTCAGCTTATCAAAATTTCCATTTAGATACGACTAGGTGAAAGCAACAAGTTGGGCTTATTTAGTTTTAGCTTCAACTAATGCTAACCGTGGCTAGCTCACCAGCTAGCTTACAGTTTAGCTTTCCAAACTGCATGATTTGCAGTTTGGAAAGCGTTTGATGGCAGCTACACTCAGTAGCCCGTTAGCTTTAGCAGGAGTTTAGCTGTTTTTGTTCCTCCATCTTGATTTGACTTAGCCCTCAACTTATTTGTTATTATGTGGAAAAACTTTTTACCAAGATGTCATTTCATAATAATAATAATTAACATTTACAGATAATGACTAGGCTAAAACAAAGAGTTGGGCTAATTTAGTTTTAGCTTTAACTATTGCTAACTGTGGCTATCTCACTAGCTAGCTCATCAGCTAACCTACAGTTTAGCTCTCTTGCTTTAGCTGTTTATACTTTATACTGTTTATATGTTTTTCTGGCTCTGTTTTGTTACTGCAGAATAATAAAAAAAATTACATATATTTATATATATTTTCCACATATATAATACTTTTTTAAGGCGTCATATTTTAATATAGTAAAACAGAAAGATTCTGGGCCTAACACGATATGACCAAATAAACAGTTGTTGCATTTTGGCTGTTAGCTCATTTACTTGTAGCCTATTTTATCATGAACAAAAAATTAAAAAACAATCATCAGTGACACTGTTGTCTATAGTTATTTAAATGAAATTGTATTATATGTTTAAACTACTTCAACAGTTATTTAAAGTATTTATTGGCTGCATGTCAAAATATAAGTTAGGCCAAACAACTAAGGGTGTAGGTTTCGTTTAACATTGAGGAGTTTGATGGTCCTCCACCAGAAAATTTTGAGCGTCAAAAACTTAATGTCCTGCATTCTGTTAAATTTTTATGCAGCCATTTGTACCTTTTCTGCATCAATTTATGGTGCAAATGTATTTCATTATGTTAAAATAAAAGTGCTGTGCTACTTTCTTGTTTTTATTGGGGGGCACAAATGCACAAATGTTCTACCCATATAAAATAAAAAAATAAATGAAATCTACCCCTATAGCAACAACTGTATGTAGACATAATTATAGACATAATCATTTGCTGACTAAATAAAATTTAGTCAGCAGTAATTTGTTTTTGATTACACACTGTCATCGTAAAATATTCAGTAAAAATCAACACGGTACAAGAATAGCAAAAGAACTTCATGTTTTAAATGAACAATGAACAAACTACTCGTCACAGTTTTATAACAGATCTTATTTTTTTATTGAGGAGAGTCAAGTTGGGCTTTCCATTTTTAGAAAATAAACCAATGACAATATTACAAATAATGAAATTGTTACATCATTCACAGGGTTACAGTCAATATACATTTATACAGAAATACAGGATGGCCCACATCAGTCACAGTGGTCTGAACCGGCACTGGTCTACAATGTGGGCTTTAGAGGACGGGGGGAACATGTGGAGGACCCCTGCCTGTACTAACCAACAGCCAGAGAGGCAGTGGGAGGGGGGTGTTCAGGGGCAGGGAGGGTGTGGGAGGGGGGCAACAGAGGGGAACACAGGGTCATGTGGGGGAACACAGGTGGCAGGGTTGGCGTAGTGGCATCAAAGTTTGTCCAAACGAGGGAAAGACACAGGCTTGTTCTGAGCAGCAGCAGCCGGCCCCGCTGAAGAGTCCTGAACACTGGAGCTCAGCCTGCCGCAGCATTCACAGACTATCTGCACCTGAAAGTGTCAATCCAACAAGCTACATGTGACCACCACGGCAGCAGAGGGTGCTCTGGTGCCTTCGTGCTGCACCCATTTAAAAAAGGAGCCATTTTCTGTGCGCCACAGCAGGAGGCAGGCCTCTCGCTCTGACCATGCTGTATAGTTGGGCGGCGTTCAAACGCAGCCCAGTGGGTACAACCTGGCACGGCTCGTGTTTATGCACACGATCATGTAACAGTAACGCTGAGACTTAACGGTTTTCCTCCGTCCTTCAGAAATTGGCACACGGTGAGGGCAGGAGTGGTTTTTACTTTGCTTCACAGATGTTAAGAGGAGAGTGTGTTTTGCTGAAAGTTGCAGTCGGCAAACGTTGTGTGAAACTGTCACGGGTGTCGGGACCACACTGCAGAAAGTTTTTTAGACAGGAGAAGCTGGAGTCTGTGTGTGGATGGCAGATTTGTGGTACTGTAACTATTTACAGTAAAACTACATCTGAAAAGTTAAATATTGTGTCTGGAAAGTAAACAGCTGATTCAAAGGGGGAATTAATTAAACAAAAAGGGCACAAATACCTCAAATCCTGAATCGACACACGGTGGATTTAAGTTTCCCCGTGATCCAATACTGTGGAAGCCATTTACAGTAATGGACAATAATTTCACTTGAATGAAATATTCAGTCTGATTGAGGCGGGCGATAAAAGAATAATCACCACATTAAGTAAGATTTCTTTTAGAAATATGCCCTCCATAAAAAAGATGAATCACTAACTTGCTTTTTATGCATTTTTCAATACTTGTATTTGGACGTCGGGGGGTTTAATGTTTTTTTCACATCTTGGGCTTTATTGTAAAGAAAGCGGCCGGTCTGCTGCTGAAATAGGAAGTAACAAACCACTTGAAACACTTGACATGAGTGCGTCAGTCTCTTCTTCACGCTACCACTGCTCAGCTTGAACTGCAACAATACGTCTCTTCTGTGCCATCAAAATAAAAAAAAAGATACATAAATACTCAATGCAGTGCTTTCAAACACTCCACATTCAATCAAAAACCTTAAAACTCCTTCAGATAAAATGAAAAACAAACCCTTCAGAGGGAGTTCAACAGAAAAAGTATCCTCTCTGCGGCAAGAAAATACTGACAGTATGCAACATAAAGTCAGCTTCAGCACTATTTTATGTCTTGGCCATAAGCGCGCCTGCCCACCCTGTTTAAGGTACTTCCTTGAAGCAAAGTTCAAGGATAATTGCTTGATTAATAACTCACAGTCTTGGCAGCGTCCGTGGACAAGCATCTGAATGAGCTTTAATGGGGCCGGAGCAGAAACTCGCCCGCCTCGTGTGTACTTTAGATTAATTTCTCGAACAACATTAAGCGTTTTTCCTGACGTCGGAATATTCGCCGTACCGTGAGAAGCCTCGCAAAAGTAAAACTGATGAGCTGTTAAGCATTGAGAAATGGAAAAGGGAAGACGGTCTATAGCTGGGTTTAAGAAGCATGTTGGCATCAGTGGCATTTAGGTCACAGCATCACTCCTCAGTCGCTCCTCAGCTGTGACTAACAGCTCGTGATTGTCCTCCTCCTAGTTTCATGTTATAAAAGCTCCCAGGGAAAATATTCGTTCTGATGTGTTGCACTGCAGATGAAAAAAAAAACAAGCGAGGAGGGGATTATGGAGCAGAAAGAGAATAAAAATCCCTCCACTCATGTCCTTGAATTCTCCGGAGAGCCGGGGATAATGAAAGGTAAGACGACAGGGGTTCTCGCTTTCTTCAACCGGGGCTTTGGGGCTAAAGCTGTCTGTAGTGACACCACAAAAACCTCAGGTCAACTCTGAGGATTTGGTTTGAGCGAACGTGGAAACTTTGTCCAGTCTCTTTTTTTTAATTTCACACGTGGCATGCAGCATCAGGACAAGACAAGACACAACTGCCCCTGCCGATGAGTGTCAGTTCGCCGGCTGCTGTTGACGCTTATAAAGTCGCAGAGACAAAACCGGACAACTGCTGAAAGCCGACTGTGCGGAGATCAGTGGGAGCGGCAGACAGGTGGCCGACAGGCATGTGTGTGATCAAGGGGAGAGAGGGTGGAATCAGTGCCTGGACAGAGCGGCTGTGATCGGGGTGCGGCCGCCCCGCTGTGACCGGACACATCTGACCGATGGTTCACAGCTGGACGTCTGTGTCTGGCTGTCAGGTCTCGGAGCGGGGCCCGGCAGGAACTCCGCGCTGCTGATATCACTTACTGGCTGTATACATAAACCCCTGCCCACTTCAGCGACTCCAGGGAATCCCTGCGTCGTCGCTACGAACGCCATCTTTTCCCCTTTTACACCAACGACGACCCGAACAATGATTGACAGCTCTGTACTCATGAGACAGGAAGCCACACAATAAATGCATATACGGTCTATAAAATGAAAACCTGCCACAGGGAAACGCTGTTTATCTACATGTGCACCAACATGATTCAAAGTAAATGTCGAAGCATTGATGGAAGATCCAGAGTGTTTGTTGGAGTCGAACAATAGACTCAGTGCAGAAAAAAAAAAACAAAAAAAAAAACTAAAAGTAATAATAATAACAATTCAATAATATCCATACAGAAATTGCAAAAATATAACACGCTGCATTTTTGTTTTTTAATTCAACAAACGCCTGATTGTAAAGTCTATTCATGACTCTGTGTGTTTGTGTGTGTGTGTGTGTGTGTGTGTGTGTGTGTAAAATAACCATGTGTGGTATCAAAACTTTAATACTTTAAACATAAAAACGTCTTTTCAAAAAAGGAAAAACTGGAAGAAGAAGAAGAAACGCTGAATATAATGCAGCCACATTATACTCCGTAAAGTGTGTCAAATCCAAGCTCTTACCAAACAGAGTTCTAGTAATTGCAGCAAATCAAAGCACTGTGAAATTAACCACTCACTCAGCATGCTATCAAACACGAGTCCCGACGCTTCGGGAGCCACTGTGCACGTGGCGTGTGTGTGTGTGTGTGTGTGTGTGTGTGTGTTGGAGATGAAGGAAGATGCTGTAATGGTGCACACCACATGTATGTGTATGTAAACAGTAGAACCTGTTACTTTTTGTGTTTGCTGTTGTTGTTTTTTTTTTCTCCACAAGCTTTTTTTTTTTTCCACAGAATAAAGACAGGAAGTGACAGTGACAACAACTTCAATCCTCCCTGTCGTTTCAGTTGTTTCAGTTTCTGAGTCGTCGCGTTATGGCAGGTCGAGTGCGTCTGATATGTACAGTACAGGATCGTGACTGGGAAGAGTTCCATTTGGCAGGCTGTGAATATTTCACCGTGAACGAAAAGAGAAATTTGTCTACAGTGAGAGGAAGCATGGTGAGACGGAATTCTTCATCACAAAATTTCACACAATATAGAAAATTACTTGCAATGAAAAAAAAAAAAAGTTGTTTTTTTTTTTTTCTTGCGAGTTTTCAGTCTGAATGATTTTTGACATCAGTCTATGCCAAACGTCCCATTTCATGGTTTTTTAATTTATTTTCTCTCCTTGGGGAAACATGGGAGTGCACGTCGGGTCCCTCGGTCTCCTCTGCGGTGTCAGAAGGCCGCGGAGGACTCTGCGTTTCCTCGTGATGTCCAAAATTAAAAAGATGCAAAGACAATATCCACACCTTCGTTGAGGACGACCTCCTCAACTCTTCCTTTGTTTTCTTCTTTTTTTTTTCCTCGCCCTTTTAAAGGGTAGCTTTCCTACTCAGTTCGTCTAGCGTACAAGCTTATATCATCTATAAATTTAGATAAACTCCTTGCCTTTTCTCAGTTTTTCTTTTTTTTGTCCTTTAAAAAATTCTTTACAAAATTATCAGAACAAACAAACCGAAAAAAAAAAAAAATAAAAATGTTCAACATCAAATGAAAATTGGTGGAAGTTTGAAAAAACATGTGTTGCTGGTCACTTCTAACCTCCCGTGTTTCTGGCTCCAAAGGTGGGTCGGCTGTGGGTCCTCATCACACGGACTAGTTTCCACACCTCTCCACAGCTGATCCCAAAGATGGAGGGAGAGTCAGGGTGAGGGGGTGAGAGGAAGGAGAGAGGGAAGTGGAGAGGGGGAACGGGGGATGAATGGTAGTCCGGTGGGAAGACCAGACACACTGTAATGCGAAAAAACATCCACTCCATCCTCCGCACCCAGAGCCCTGCATCCCAACCGCCTTTTTCTTTTTTTTTTTCTTCTTTTTTTTTTACCCCCCTCTGCTCCGCTCGGGAGGGTCAAACCTCCACCGACTGGATCTGGTTCATCTGTGCCCGCATCATCTGGACGCTGTTGAGGATCTTCTTTTGATGGCCCGCTAACGTCACCCCCACCCTCAGGATGTCACTGTGAGGAGAGACAGATGTCAGGATTAAGTTACCGCACAGTATCAACACTCCCGCACAATCTATCTACTGTACAGCATCTCTCTGCGTCTATCAACAACACAACATATGGACGCGCAACAAGACGGCTCGCAGCGGAGAACAGCTGAAAGGAAAAAACATATATGAAAACTGAGATGACAGTAAAGTAACAGGCATGAAACAGCTGCGTGTTCATCCATCTTTGAGGACAGAGAGCTTATATAATCACAGAACAATGTTTAGATGCCACTTTGGTGTGTTTTTCTGGCGACTGACTCGTGTGGTTAACCCCACCCATCTCATCCCAACAAAACAAACGTTACACAAAATCACAACATCTCATTGACTCTCTCGTAGAGACGAGATTCATCGCAGAGATCATATCTAAATATGTGAATACGGAGGTGTGCGCCCGTGCCACATGGCTTTCTCAGGTCAGACCGAGTCACAGATTAGATGACTTCAGACTCGACTTGACAAAATGGTAAATGGTCTGCACGTGTATCGCCCTTTTCCAGTCTTCTGACCACTCAAAGCGCTTTTACACTACGAGTTGCATTCACACATTTACACACCAGTGGTCGAGGCTACTGTACAAGGTGCCACCTGCTGCTCAGTAACCATTCACACACTCTCACACACCGATGGAACAGCCATCAGAGGCAAATTGGGATCAGTATCTTGCCTGAGGATACTTCAACATGCAGACTGGAGGAGCCGGGGATTGAACCGATCAGTGGACAACCCACTCTACCTCAAAGCCGCAGCCGCCAAATAAAAAAAGACCCTCAACCAATGACTCCTGACTTCACTGGGACTTCAGTCTTTTCACTTGAAAAATAATTGATACTTCCCCCAAAATTTAAAGAACATAAAGTATGTTTAAAAAATGCACCATGAATCAGTTCATTCCCCGAATCAACTAACATTGACGCTACTCACTCCCAGCAAGTCGACGCTTATTTCCATACATGATCCACTTTGTTTGAACCAATCCGACGGCAGCCAATCACGTTGCAGGAGAGAACCATAAAGAACTTTCGTTAACATTACTGAGTGCCAGTTGGACAAAAAATGATAGCGATGATATTTTCGTTTGTGTATAAAAACTATGGGATGGAAAAAATAAATCACAGTATGCAAAAACACGCATGCAAAAATCACAGACGGCGACACGACGACTTCAAACAAATGTTAACAAATAAATACAAATTTTAAAAAGCATTCAGGATTTTTAAAATCTTACATGAGATTTTTTTTTTAAGTTTTTTAAATGTCATTTAGAATGAAATTTAATACCAATTTTACATTAACCAAAACTGAATAAAAAATGTTCAAATGTTCAATGTCACTTGTTTGGTCTATTTAAAAAGTTGGACAATCTGCTTTAAATGCTGAGCTGTTTTGAGTGGATCACATGGAAAACAATGAACATATTATATTATCATTAAAGAATCTATCTGGTTTGACTTAAAAAAGCTTGCTCATTGTCATGTAATTCGATGTGGTGAAGTATGAGTGTTGTTTGTTCCTCTGTCGCAGGGGTCTTCAACATTTTTCAGGCTAAGGGACCCTTAGCCTGAAAGAGAGACGGATCAGGGCCCCCTTACTAGATATATTATATGAAACTGAGTTCCATATTAAACTGAGGCTACAATTAGATTTATTTACACATCATGTTTGTTTCTGAGGTGGATGATGTGTCAGAGTGTCTGGCTTGAAAAGATACAAAAAAACCAACACTGTGGCTCACAAGAATGTCTGCACACTTGGAATAATAATACAGCTAATTGGTTGATATGTTTCGATAGTATGTAATATGTGTTAGCTAACTAGTTTGCCTCGCTGTTATGGATAGTTGCTACACAGTGATTGTTGGCTAGCTAACACAATGGCACATCACAATAAAAGCTCTGTGCCGGAAACTCACTGTACTTCAAAATAATGTGTGTTTTTAACAAACTGGACACGTTGGTGAGTCACTTGCGGTCCATTCAAAATGGCCCACGACCCACCAGTTGGGAACCACTGCCCTAGGGGTCATGACCCCTTGCTGAAGACCCAGTGTCTGTCCTTACGAGCATCACATTGATGCGAGAGGCATTCAGTTGATGTTACCAATTATTTGTGAGATTCTTACAATGCAACATCAGGAAAAACAACAATTCATAAATGTTTACTGCCCTTGTCTTAGCATTTTTAAGACACTTTAATACTCATTAAGGCCTTTTTTTAAGATCAATGAATTCAATGCCTTTTAAGACTTTTCAAGGATCAGATGGAACCCTGCTTTCATTTGGTGAAGCCCATTATGACATGTTTGGGACTTTCAACTCAAAGTTTATGACTTGTGACTTGACTGCAAAGCTTTGAGACTCACACAACAATGACTTGGCTTCACCTCCGTGCCAAACAAAACAGCCAGTCTTCATGAAGGCAGCAGCCTCGGCTCCAAACACAATAATACGTTGAACATTAGACAATGAGATTCCTCTCTCCTCTAATTCTGAATCTCAACTGTAATCATGTTTATTGGATTACACATTACCGTCTGTTCTGTTCAAAGAATTGAAGCTCAGCATCTCTGCGGGTTAATCTCTGGCTCGTGATGCTGTCATCCATAGACAGAAAAAGATTTTATCTGTGTCTCTACAGGTGGTATTCTTAAGATGATTTTATCTTGTGTCTTAGGGTATTTTTTCCTCTAATATTTCGGCTAACTGAGCCCATGTTATGTTCCCTCTCAATGCTTAAACTGAGGTCAGAGAGAGGCCTGCTGAACACATGGTGGAGAATAAAGGGCGCTGTTGTGGCTTCGAGCTATTGTGCCCACTGTTCAGTCTCGCAACTGCAGTATTACGATCTGTTAATTACATGCAGTGCAGCTCTTTTATAACGAGCCAGAGGCAGAGTCTGGTGCTCGTTCAAGTTTTAGGGATATACGAGGTTTCGGAGAACCCGCCTCATGCGATCATTTCCTCGTGCTTATCAGACCCAGAACGGTGGGAATCGCTCGACACTTACTCCATGGTCATCTGGGACACCACATCAAATGTAGAAAAGTCAGCGCTGGCGAAATTGTCTTTGTACTGGCCCATCTTGATGGCATCCAGCCACTCGTCCACAGTGCTGAAGCTGGAGAAGTCTGGGATGCTGCGGTCCAGGAGAGGGAGATGAACACTGAGGGGGGACACAAGCCGGAGCCATTAAGAATCATCGTAATACAAAATGGCAACTCTAAAATCATAGACAGCCCGGACCACCTGCACATGATTCAAACATGAATTATTACATTACGTTTTCAAAAGGCTAGACAGAACTTAGAGAATCCCACCGGCCTTATCCATGAACCAATATTTTCCAAACTGATTCCTCATAAAGTGTATTTTCCAAATGAAGTGATAGGCTTCAAGGAGCCAATATATCCCCTCAGTGTCTGTGGAAAATCTGGCCCTCGGTCCCGCACGCCACCACAAATGAAAGTACAGACAGGGATAATGGAAATCAGTAAACCCTCACTCTCAGAGGAAACTAACACCCAGAGCAGAAACGCTTCAAAATGTTTTGTTTTGAAAATTGCACAACGGCTTCAATCCAGGTTTCGCCTGAAGCGTTCGTGGGAAGGATTTGATCTATCAAACCGAAAGGCTTTAATTTACATAACCGCTCGGCGCCAGGAGAAACAAGAGACACTGTGTTCGGAAAAAAAAAAAGAAGAAGTCAACTGTGCCACGGATGGCACTTTGGCAGGAGCATGAATTTCCTGTTAGGAAGAGGAAAGCCTTTACATTTAGAGAGGATCAGATGCATTATATTGTTCAAGATGTTATCCACATCAATGTGCAATGATGCTAAAACCAGAGGCCTGTCTTGTGGGATGCCTACAAAGTCGAGATAAAACACACATGCAGATCCCTCACAGACTGAAGAGCTGAGACGTAGGTTTAACACTAGTCTGCTCCATATGCTGTGACTAAGACAACGTAGACAAACGTATCACTTAAAACAAATCTGATCAGCATCCTCCCCGCCGCTCACCCTGAAGATAACGGGGTCATGGCCTTTAGCGTGTTGGGGTTGCGGATCATCTTGTCGAGGTTGTTGACGATCTGACTGAACTTGGGCCGGTTGTTGCGGTCCTTCTGCCAGCAGTCCAACATGAGCTGGTGCAGCGCGCTGGGACAATCCATGGGTGGGGGCAGCCGGTAGTCCTGCTCTATGGCGTTGATGACCTGCAGGGGGAGACAGAGATCTCTAAGGGTTGCTATGAGGCTCTACAAAGAGGAGGTCGAGTGATGGAGAGGAGAGGAGTGTACGATCCAGTGCTCATGTCCTTTAGTTCAGTCAAAGTCCTACTTAAAGACAAACATCACCTAATTTAAAAATTCTAATATATTATTTCCATGATCTAGGAATGTTCAATCAATATATGTGAGCTTCTCTCTCAAAGCCAGAAACCAGAGTCTCAAACTTGTGATGTCATCAAGTAAAAAGTTTGGAGCTGCTAGATGATGAATGGGAGTCTGATTTTATGTTTGTTCTCTTTTAATACCCAAATCAGCTTTATTCTGTTGTAGAGTTCTCAGTTGTGAAACAGAAATATGCCTGAACATTTCCCTGATTGCTCTCACTGTCATCTATAACATCTTTCCCAATTCATTTTCTATGGAGCAGCTCCACACTTTAAACTTGACTTGGCACAAATTTAAGTTTAAGCACTCTAGTTTTTGGATTTGGGAAAGTTGTTCATGTGTACATATATTTTTTTACTGTCTTAGACCACAGAAATAACATGTATGGACTTTGAAAACACATAGGAAGAAGGCAGTGAGCAACGAAAAAAGAAAAAAAGACCCAAAAACTTAGCGAGAAATTTATAAAAAGAGAAAATTAAAACCAAGAACATAAGTACAAAGAAAGAAAGAAAGTAGGTGAGAGGAAATGACCTGGAAAGAGTGCGTAAAAATGCTAATAATTATGTGATAATTCTAAAATATAAAATAATAATAATATTTATTATTATTATAAATGTAGTTTTTCCTGGCTTTTTTTCCCCTAGTTTTTTAAAACAATTTTCTATTATTTTTCTATTATTTTTTTAAGTTTGTGGGACATTTCTTACCAAGTTGCTCGTTGTCTTTTTTCCCTTGTTTTAAAAAGAAATTGCACCGATTAACTCAGGGTTCAAAGGTCTAAATACTTTGATGATGTGATGTCGCTCCAGGTTTCAGAGGGTTAAGTTAATGCAGAGAAGCATTTGCAACAAAACACACTTAAAGTATTAAAACTTAAAGTACTCTTCATGACCAAGAATGGCTCTTCTGACTGATATATTATTAATATTACATAATTAAATTGTTTATAGTGAATGCATAAGTAGCATTTTGCTGTTGTAGCTGGTTGAGGCGGAGCTCACTGTAACTACTTCATGTACAGTTCGTCTCCAGGGCTCCCCCACCCTGGAACCCTGTTGCTGTGAGGCGACAGTGCTAACCACTGCACCACCATGCTGCCCAAGTTTACAGGTCGTGTCTAATATAAGGTAAATACTGGCACTGATGCTCTCTCCATATAACAAGCGTGTGTGCCTCTCATCATGTGGTGAAAAGAACTGCTGCAGTCATCAGTGTGTCACTGTAAGAGTCAAACTGTTAAATTATCCTTATTACTTAAACACATATAAATGTGTAAATATATATATTTGTGCACAAATCTCCACCTAAGCTCTGTATGTGCGGAGTTGTTAAACAGCTGTCAGGTCAGCCGTGACCTCATCTCTGGCCTCCACAAAGTATTTAATGCTCTCGCTCTCTGCAAAGTCACATTAAAGATACATCTGGCTTGGGCCGGTGATGTTGTTGGTCGGGGGGGCACTCAGAGGTGGTGCACGGTTAACAGAGTGAAACAACCCGGAGGACACTTTGTGACGAGGACGCACAATCCCCTGCTCATTATCAAGGCCATTAAAGGAGCTCCATTCAGACTCAGATTAATCTCATTCATGAGACCTCCAAACGAGGACCCCGATGGAGCAGAAACACTATCTGGAGCTGCTAATAAGATAACCGTTGAGGTCCTCAGTCCCTCTTAGCACATTAGTGTTCTCACTTTCAATTTGAAACTATTTTCATTATCTCTCTCCCCATAATTTGCTCTCTCCTCTGCTACCCAGAGGGAGATAGGAAATGGAGGCTCCAGTCAAGAGCAGAAATTGTCCACTGAGCACTGCCGTGCATTTCAAATGATCTGATTATGTCTCTGCGGTGAGTGTGGGGGAATTTTCATATAAAACCCATGAGTGAAAGCTGCTGTTTAGCTGTGGGAAAGCAGATACGATGACAAAATGTATCTCTGAGGAGTCTGTAATGAAACCCAGGAAGCTGATAATGTACATATGTGTACATAACGAGGCCTTGTTTCAAAAAATGTTTAAGGGGGAAATTTGACTCAAGAATCAAGAGCCATTTTAAAAAAACGCTACCGGCGAGTTTAATACATACGTCTTGATTGGTCATGTCCCAGTAAGGCCTCTCTCCGTAGGACATGACTTCCCACATGACGATCCCGTAGCTCCACACATCGCTGGCAGAGGTGAACTTCCTGTACTGGATAGCTTCGGGCGCAGTCCATCGGATAGGAATCTTCCCTCCCTGCAAAACACAAAGAGCGCAACCTCAGAGAGGGAAGCGAGACCGAAACCCGACCGTCACAGTGTCCTGGCTCCGGAGAGAGACACCGTTCACGGCAACAATGCTGATGGTAATCCAAACTGGGAGGTGGATATAACAAAACCCCTGGGAGTAAAGTGTGGTGCATGAAATACTGGAGAGGGAGGAAGAGAAGAACAGGTGAAGGGATGATGTTTGTATTGATAGGGAGTGTGGGAGTGAACCGCTGTGTATGTCTAAGCCTGGGTTAAATAAAACAGTGACAGCACCAGATGAATTGGATTCTCAATCAGGACACTTCAGATAAGTTCCCATTCACCAAATATATTAAAATCTGAGAAGCCTCTCTGACCCTGCTTTAATCAAGACTTGAAAGTGTCTTACCAGAGCACTGGTGTAGGTGGGGTCTGATGTATCATCCTCCAGGAAGCGCGACAGACCGAAGTCCGACACCTTGCACACAAGGTTGCTGTTGACCAGGATGTTTCGGGCAGCGAGGTCGCGGTGCACGTAGTTCATGTCGGCCAGGTATTTCATGCCCGAGGCGATGCCGCGGAGCATACCAACGAGCTGGATCACAGTGAACTGCCCGTCGTTTTGCTGTGGAACAAACTGTGTTACAACGTCTGAGAGAGGTGAAGTTCTGAGCTGCATATAGTCGGGCCAGCAGGATGAATTTAAATATTTTAATTTCAGACACAAACAGATAGATTTATTAGAGTGCTGCATTAGTGTGAAAGGCTGAAAGCAACACAGATGGGGAGTGTCTCATTTTGTACAGACAGAAAAGTGATCAGAATTTGAAAGAGGCTTTAATCACATTTAAAAGCCTTTACACAGTGGCTTTTTAGCTGCGTTCAGATCTGATGTGTTTGTTCATACGTGACTCAGATTCTTTTTTTTTTTCATAACAATGTGAACAGCATAAAACGCATGGGATTTGGTCTTTTCACTTCTGCTTTGGACCTTTTAGGCTTTGTTCACACTGCAAGGCCTAGTGCTCAGTTTGGACATCATTTTAAATGTGGCCAATATTAATTTAGAAAAACCTCTTGAGATTAAAAATCTCTTTTTCAAATATACAACAACAAATATACAGAATAAAAATGCATAGCTCTAAAACAAGCAATATGAAACACAAAATAAGATTACTACAAAGAAAAGCCAAAAATATGTTAATATATACTAGAAATGAACCATAAAAACGCAAGAACAGCAGATCGTGCACAAAAATCCTGCAACAGTGCTTTGAAACGGCCGAGGGGAACCAAAGAGTGCAACTTTCCTTCCTGTCCTTTGCAGGAGATTCCACATATAAGAAGCTGCATACAGAAATGCTTGCTTGCCAAACTCTTCCCATACAGAATGGACCCACGACCCACCAGTTGGAAACCACTGACCTAAGACGCATGTCAATATGAGGTGTAAACAGCGCCTTAGAATCCAGTGTGAACTGGTCACAGTTCCAAACTGACTCAGATGAGCGAAAGGAAAATAAGAAAGAAGTCGAACGTAACGCACTGCTGTATGGAAGTAAACATGGACGCCACTGAAGTCAGAGTTTAAGTTGATGTGCAGTGGAGGCCAGTGAATTCATGAGCAGATGATAAAGAGGACGAGGATGAGGAAAAAGAGAGCTGAATATTTAATCAGAGCTTTTTGTGGAGCAGTGACTTCTGCTTCTGTATGGAGGTGTGTGTGTGTGTGCATGTAGTCAGAGTCAGGAGTGGTGGGATTGTGACATGAATGGCTTTACTGAAACAGATTTCTACCAATATTTCCACAAGATTCTTGTGGCAAGAAATCAGCTCGGACTTGTGACAAATGTTGATTTAAAGTGACAAAACATTCGCATGAATTCCAATATTGCTGTTCAGACTGAGATCTATGGAACTTTGGATGAATTAATCGGTTGGTTCTTGTCATTGTGTGTAGGTTGCCTAATATTTCTACACGTTACTGTGTATCTTTTATGTTTTTAATTGTGTTGTTGTTTGGCTGCAACTTTTTGTGTGCTGCTGTCTTGGCCAGGTTTCCCATGTAAAAGAGATTGTTGATCTCAACGGGACTTAACTGGTTAAATATGGGTTAAATAAAAATAAAAAAAAGAACAGTGACGGTAAGTTTTTGGCAACAAAATAAAATTTGGCAAATTTGGAGCCAGAACAGTGTCAGTAAATGTTGGCATAAAAATATAAAATAAAATAAATTTGGCAATAAAAAAAAGGAAACCAACAAAAAAAAGCATTAAAACTGTTTTTAATTTTGATTTTTCTTGTCACTGTTGAGGGACTGTCTCCAGAAGAGAAGTTTTCTCCTCATTATGCAGATTACATTTAAATAGTGCTTTCCTTGCCCCCTCCCCTCAAACTCCTCCCCTCCACTTCAAAACAGTGGCAGAATATTGAGACTGAAAAAAAGAGTTTAAAGAAAACTGACGCTTCAAAAATACAAACATAAAATAATAAAATATTTTTAGTGCCTGTGTTTCATTTTTTGATGCTTAATTCAATTTTTGATGCCACAACATACTGTCACTGTTGAAGCTCCACAGAGGTTGCAATTCCAGAAAATCCTGTATCCTGACCTGTATCTGATTTAAGATGACACGTGAAAGTAGCACGAGTTTTGGGTTGTTCCCACTGTTATGAAGAAGAAAACAAAACAAAACTGAGTCACATAAGAACAAAGAAAAAAAATCCCTGCAGTTTAAACGCAGCCGAAGATAAAAGATCTAAAATAGTTTTATTGTTCCACTGAAAAAAACATTGGATGACTTTCCCTGGTCTAATGATTCTCATCATCTCTGGACAAAATGTGCCGTTAATAAAACAAAATGATTCCCACTTCACTCCTTTTAGTCAAATCATAACCATTTCAATGTGACATGTCCACTTGTAACCCAACCCACATGTGTCTAATGTAGAGAAGTTACTTTGAGTTTCTGTGAGGAGGCCCTGCAGGACGCTAACAGGCAGGTCTGGGTTGGGCTCAACTGGCCTCTGCAGGGCTGGGCAGGGCTAAGCTGGGTCTGGCTGGCTGTCTACAGCTGTTCCCCTCCACGGTTTGGTGAGGGCTTTACCCCATGCGTGGAGAGCGTCTGGAGTGGTCGTGCAGCTGTGCCTCCAACTGCGCACACCTGCACAACTCCCCACCACCCACCACGACGCCCGGAGAACAGAGGATTCCAGAGAATGGAGCATGGGAGCTTGGGGGCGGGCGTGGACAGACGGAAAAGGCCAAGAGAGGGAATTGGAAGGGCAGGCGAGCCGAGCCCCCGAGCACAGCCATATTAAGAGTCTGCATGACCGCTCCGCTAGCCTATTTCTCTTTCAAACACTCTGCTGCTCATTAGGCGAGCGGGTGCTTCTCCTCACGTCAAGCTGCTCTTCCTCGTGCACCACAGCAATTAAGCAGAATGCATAATTCATGAAACCTTTCTCACAAATACACATTGCCACCTAGAGTAATCTGTGCACTGTGTTTGCATATACTTTAATTGGAAAGATTCCTCCAAAGTCTGTCGGGTCAAGTTGGGTGGAAGAAATAACCAGGAATCTGTAGAACTGTGAAACAAGGTCTAGCATGTTTATTTATATAAAAATACTGTCTCACATCAAAGACTGGCTTTTCTTCTCTTTACTTTTGCTGCATCCAGACAGCAGTCCAGCTCTGATCGATCTCTGTCTGTCTTCACTCTGCAGGAGGCAGCAGGGGACACAATCCTCCAGCAGACGCCTCACTACAGACGCCGGTGACCATTTTATACAACCGCCCACCGATCACCACGGAGGAGACGCACGCCATGTTCAGAGGCTTTGATACTGTCAGCAATTGTTGTCATAAACTGTCACCGCGAGGTGCGGCAGAGGTTCCCCGTTGTTTTGAATCTAATGTGCTGTCAAATATGTTTAGCAAACATCTACATATACACAAACACCCTTCACCGCGAGATCAAATTCCAAAAAGAGCTGATGCTTTGTGTCTCCCGAGGTCGGAGGCAGAATGCAAATAAAGACTCAGTCTGAACAGTGTGCTGACAGCAGCTCGCATGTCTTCTTCTTCTCATGGATGGTTTTGATGTAGGCTCACCACACAGGGCTTAAACTGATGATCAGTGTTAGACTGGGGGAAATTGGTAGAGACTGTTTTCAGGAAATTTAATAATGCTGTTAGATTCTTCAATTACAATGTAATGTCTCTTTTTTTTGCATACATAATTAGCTGTATATATGGAGGGTACAATGCTGTGGTCAGGGTATCAGACACATACATTTAATGCTTTTAAAGACCTTTTCAAGATCATTTTAACCAAATTTAAGACTGATTTTTGGACAAATGTCCTTTTTCTAATTTAAGTATATATATGTGGCTCCATGCAGGAGAGTTGTAGTGGGGGGGAAAAGTGGGACCACTACCCGGGGCCCTGATGGATGGGTGACCTAGTCTACAATTTCATTTTACTTCTTAGTAGTTAGTGCCGTAATTAAATTAAAATTGGCTGAATAATGAAGTTGACCCCCACACATCCGCAACCTCTCAGTTATTTTCGACAACCTCTCCTTCGAAAAACATCTTTCATCAAACAAATCACCAGCACTGCCTTCTTCCACCTAAAAACCGTAGCTTGTCTCCACCCATCACTCTCCCCCTCTGCTGCTGAAAGTCTCATCCATGCCCTCATCACATCCAGAATTGACTACTGTAACAGCATTCTTTATGGTCCACCATCCAAACTCCTGAATAAACTCCAATACATCACCTCTGTCCTTCAGAACCTCCACTGGTTCCCAGTCCCACAACACATCCAGTTCAAAGTCCTTCTCCTCACTTATAAAGCCCTCCATAACCAGGCCTCCTCCTACATCGCCACCGCCACACTCCTTCCCGCAGTCTCCGCTCCTCTGATGCCAACCTCCTGACTCCACCACTCAGGACCAAGCACTAAACCTGGGGCAACAGACCCTTACCATAGCTGCCCCCTCCCTCTGGAACTGTCTCCCCAAACACACTTCAGACTGCACTGACCTCTCCCGATTGAAATCACTCATCAAATCTCTGAAAAGCGCTCTATGAATAAAATGTATTATTATTATCATTGAAAGACTGAAATTTGTATGAAAGTAGTGGGAGCTCTTTGAGGCTCCTTTCACCCCTCGAAGAACGCAAAATGGTTTAGTCCGTCCTTGCACTAGGAATTGTCTCTAAACACTGTCATGTCTTTCGCAACAGAGAGAAATCAAGGACTCAAAAAACAAAAGACAGAAAGACAGGAAAGAAAGCAAAAAAAATAAAATAAAATATTTCAAAGGATGCATGAGGGAGACATGGATCAAGAGAAGGACAGGGGGCTCCATAGAGACTGCTTAAGCATAGGGCCCAGAATTTGGTGCTACGCCCCTGGTTTGGTGCAGAGGTGAGTTTCATGTAGGAATATTGCTCAATCTATAGTTTGCCAACAGGTAAGTGCAAGTATAGGGCTGCATTCGACTAAGAATTCTAGTCGACCAATAGTCGTCATTTAGGGCCATTCGTCGACTAGTCACCCACATGTTTGGTGGGCGATTAGTCGACTGGTTTGAATTGAAATGCACGTCACA